CTTGCAAATTTGAACCTGGGGAACAGACACCAACCTTGCACTCCTGCCACTCTGAGACAATTAATTTACGGAGCAATCCTGAGAAACCAAAGGTGCCTGGACTTCTTTTTGCCTTGCAGGGCACAGCGTTTCGAATGACAGCAGCCAGGTGATCTCTCTGACTTCAATGCGTTAGAAAATGCAAGCGTATATTGAAGTGCTTTCATGAATCTGAGCCTGGGTCAGTTTTGGGGTCAGAAGCCCCAAAACTTTTTTTTTGTTGTGTTGGCTGGTTCTTTTTTTTTTTTTTTCCCTCCTTTTCTGATGTAGTCATCAATGAAGTTAACTTTGAACATAACCCAGCACTGAACCAAAACTGGAATTGGATCATAGCAACAACTTCTCTTTGGAGCAATCTCATTCTAAAATAACCGGAAATAACAGCATGGCACTAACAAGTGTTGATTTATCTCCTTAAAATGGGAAAAAGGGAGAGAAAAACTCTTGAACCCTAGTCTTGTTCAAGAAGAGCAGAGACCTTAGACTATGAAAAGGCCAATGCTGTTAACCGCAGATGGGCTAAAAACTGGAGAAGTTGATCACACACAGTAAATCCTGAACAGAAAAACAAGCCTAATGTTCAGTTCTTCAGCTTCCTAGTAAATCATCCTCTCTTCTGAGAAAACAAAACTGAGCCAATCCAAACCACACACCAAACCAAACCAAACCTATTGACAAAAGCCTAAATTTCCACTAGGCAGAACACACACACAACTCCTCTCTCAACCAGATCGTGTACGGAAACATCAAAGTTTTACACCAAGCGTGTGCTGCAGTCCACAGGTGGCATAACCTTTTTTATTTCCAAACAGCTCCATGACTGAATTGGAAAATTAAGCTGGAGACCTCAGTGAAGGAAAAAGCTGTATGCCTACAGGGAAAATGGTGAAATCTATTTGTCATTCTTCCTTTTTTTTGGAACACATATTTTATCAGATTTGGGTAGTCCCCACTAGTGAAACTGTCTAATCTTTAAATACAAAAGACAGAAAGATGCTCATAAAAGCAGAAATTCCCAAGTTGATTTGAAACTCTAGTTTGTACCGTGACTGTTACCTTATATTCTGGTTTGTGCTGCTGTGGAGAACGATTCAGAAATTGTGTCAACAGACAATACATAATCAGAGATGATCCCTGACCGTTTCTTAATAAAATAATATATATAAAAAATTACCTGCTCTTCAGAAACCTCGGTAGGTGGAGGTGTGTCTTGATCAGACGGACGATGATCTTGATAATTCGCATTCTGTCTGTGACGTAGAGGAGGAAACAGTCTATTCCAGTTAATCATCCCACCCTGAAACCAGACACTGCCGTCAGTCTCTTTGCAAAGAACTAGGCACTTTTAAAGAAGAAGATCACACGCCTCATGTAATTCAAAAGGCAAACATTTGCATAAAATGCTTATTTCAAACAACAAGGGCTGCTGTAGTCTGTCGTGAAGCCAACATTGGGCTGGTTACTGCTTTACTAGCTGCTGGAAGTAGTCACCGTAAACTCAGGAAGAGTGCTAATAAAAGGAGGAAAGGATTGTCTGATTTCTTGCTCATAATTCATGTTTCCCATCCATCATGAACAATTTGGTGTACTACAGCAATGGGTTTCTGAGGCCGCAGACCCTGCTCTCTCTGCCAAGAGGGATTTGCCTGGCAAGAGATGCATCAGAGGGTCCTGCGAGTGCCTCGCATGGGGAAAGGAGTGAAAGAAGGAAGTAGGGGGAAAGCAAAAATGCGTTTCATTGCTTCCACAAAACCACGTCAGGAAACTCAGAACACATGCTGCTGATCACACGCCCAGCTCGCAGGCTACCTGTGACAGACTTTGCATGCCAGGGATGATTTCTGTGACATCAATACTACTGCTAGAGACTCTCGGTCTTCCCTAACTTCAGTGTATCAAACCCCACTGCAAAATCTGGCCGTACTGCAGCGCCCAAACATTTTGTAACCACACGGTACTCCCACAGATGCACAGCAGTAGTGTAAGTACGGCGTAAATCACAGAACCGAAACTTTCTTTTATCGGCCAAGCTTAAAGCCCTGTAACAGCAAGACGTTTAGAACACGAAGCACAAGCGTTAGCAGTGCCCAGGAGTATTCCACCTTCCATTCATGACCTTAAACAAACACCTCTGAAGGGATTTCCTATCACAGCAGGACCTGCGAGTGGGGAAGAGCAGCCAACCCCATCCCTCGCTGTTCTCTGCGATGCAGCTGGTGTTGTGCTCTCCCTCCTCGCCGGCTCCCTCTGTTACTATGGAGAAGATCCCCCTCCCTTTCTGTATATATAGGACACGGGCTTCCTTCCTCTAGTTGCTCTATTTTAGTTCTGTACTGTCGTTTCTCAGAAGACCTTCCTCTTAAGAGAGTTTTTTTTCTTTTCTCCTCTCAGTTAGGGCTCTTCCTGCCTTTATGTACTCCTAGAGCATTAAATGCTCTCTGCTCCACCAGATCATCATTGGCAGCAGCAAAACCTGATCCCAGACAAAAAAAAAAAAAAAAAAAAATCATTTATTTAGGGTTCCCGCCCTTTCCTTTGCTTTCTTCCGTTCTCTCCCAAGGAGACCCAGCCAGCCCAGACACCACAGGGGGCAGTGCAATAGCACGCTTGACGAAGCATCTGGGGACTCATTAGATCTGACCCACTCGCTTGCAAAATGTTCCAGTCCCTCACGTTATAGCACTTTTTTCCCTGTGAAGATGCAAGATAACTAGGAGTCATAACCAGTCTTCAATCCAGTTTCCACTCCTAGTGATTTGGAGATTAAAAAAATTGTTACCCACCTACATTTCTACTTTGTACACCGTGTAACACATCTGCTTAACCATCACGAGCTTTTACCTTGAAGGATTTCACGCCTTGCGTTAGCCAAGCAGCCACAGTAAAAAGGAGAATTATTTTGTAGTTTAAGCCCGGAGAGGGATCTCAGACTTACTACTGAGACTGATGCACTGCTTCTCCGTGGTATTGGAAAATCACATGTCCTGTACTTCCCCATCTATAATTTCCCCTAGCTCAGAGTTATGTTGTGTTTTAATTCATTAATTCTGAATTTCTGGAAGCCCACTAAGCTCTACAGTTAAGCAAGAACAATGAACTTAGGCTGCTTTGCCTGGGTTTCTTCTTTTTTGAAAGACCAGGGGGGGAGAAAATAATGCTTCCAGGGGTGATTCAAGCAAAACTGCTGAATTGAGAAAAGCCAGCAGGACCATGGCATTTTTTTTTTTTTTTTGTAGCTCCAGAATTCACAGAGAATAATGCATATGAAATGTAAAATCTACAGTAAATGTATTAATTTATCAGTATGTTGGTGTATCTGAAGACTAAAATAAATGTGCCTTTCCGGCTGTGCTCTCAGCTGCCTGTTCCAGTTGGGTTTTGCACCCGCCCTGCCCCGTGCTGCTGACACATAACAAAGAGGCCTGGCTGCCTCATTCTCCTAAACTTACATTTTAAATCAGTGTGCACGAAATGCACTGCCTGCAGTACAAAGCCCAGACTCCCTAATAAGGTAACTGCTTAGTTTTGAAGGTTTATAATGGAAAACTTGATAAGCTGCAGATACGGGCTGACGCACTAAGAACGGTTCCGCGCAAAGCCTGCGATCCCTTTCCCAGAGATAGCAGACAGACAGACAGACCAGCACGGCTGTGGAAACATCCTTTCCAGCTGTCCTCGGAATATTTCAATTACCTTTGGAAATGGTGACGAATGTAACCCACCAGCTCTTGCTAACGACTAACGACTTGAGAATATCCAAAATACAAGTAGTGAAGGCTGAAAGTCTTAATGTTTTGTGACCACCGATGTTCAGGATTAATTCCAGCTTACTCTGGATGGTCTACTTCTCAACTGAGTATTCACAGAGGGCATCTAAGCCATGCACATTAAGATTCTTGATCCTTAACTGCAGGGAAATTGTTTCCCTTCATAGGCTTGCTTCTGATTAAATGACAGGCTTGCACAATGTAAAAGAGCAGAGATCCGGGGAACTGCAGCAGGAGTTGGTACCACGGCCAAGAGTAAAGAGAAGAAGACCTTAGGAAGCACTGCTACTGTCTCAGATCCACAGAAAGTAGAGACCAAGGCTGTGGATTTCCAGTGTGGATGGTGACTTTCAGGTAAGCTTAACTATCACAACAGAAAGACAGTAAGAACTGTGATTTTTAATTTGACCCAAAGTGAGCATCCAAAAATGCCTTAAATTAACTAAAGCTCTCAAATTCCAGTTAAAAATATGCAGATTTCCAGACCAGTACTCTACCTTGCCTTACAGAAGTTACTCTTCAGCCCTCCCCTTCACAATTTTGTGATGAGTTCTGCACTCTGTGACCACACTAAGCCACTTATTCTGAGAACCGTCAGGAAGATTTCACACGGCGATAACCAATGTGATAAATTCATTTGAGCAATGCTTCTAAATCACCTGAGAGTCCCTGCTGGAGATCAGCAAACTTGAAAAAAGCAGGAAAGGGGCTAATAATTAAGCAGTGAGGGTGATCGAGTGCCCAGGATGTCAGCTCCTTTCCTGAGCAGCACCTTCATGACAAATGTCTGTCAGTCTGATCCATTTAAGGAAAGGCAGGCAGTTCTGTGATTCTGGTTTGTCTGTTTAATATGAGAATAATTAGGTTTAATACTAAATAGTTGAGTGTTTAGTATTCAGCCCAGGTGACAACACACTAGCAGAGAGGCCACGCCAGATGAGCAGCGCAGGCCCAGTGACAGCAGCCACGGTCAGCCAGGAGTCTGGCCTGCCATGAGGCAGGTCTAAGATCAATCCTACAAGTCCCACCAGTGGGGTCAGGACCCGTCGGGGGTAGATGTGGCTTGGCACAGGCGTATCCACGCAGCAGCTCAGCAAAGGCCAAGGGGAAGGCCCTGCCTTCAGAGGCAACTCCCAGCCGAGGTGGGCGAGGCCCCAACAAGGCTTCTCACGGACGTTTCCAACCACAGCTCTTTCTCACAAGTCTGCCCCAGGGTTAGGAGCTGTCCCGTGTCAGAGCTGGCCCTCAGCCCGGGCAGATGCAACCCCCTGGAGAGCCTGTTGGCGTGCTCGGGGTCACGATGTGACGATACGCCACCTCCTTCCCCCATCCAGGCTGACAGGAACCGCTCGTCACACTACCCACACGTAGGTAAGGTTTCTTCTTGTGGTCTGCTTTCCTAGTCCAAATCTTCTACGTCTGATTTTGTCAGACTCACTATAGCAAAATTTATTTATTTATTTATTTATTGCGTATTTAATTTTTCCTTTGTCTCATCTGTTCTTCAGGATGAGAGGCTCGAGGAGGCCTCTTCTCTTCTCCCGGCGTTGAAGCAGCACCAAGCTTACCGCCATCACGAGGCTCCCATCAGCTTGCACACACGCTGCAGGCCCTGCAGTGGGATGCTGTGAAGAATTTCTAGTCTTGTTGTCAATCATCAAGCTCAGTTTCACAACATTAATCAGAAACTGCGTTTCAGATGTCCTGACGTCTGCTCCTCTACTAGAGAGAGACAACCACTGAAAAAATCACTCCACAAACCATCATTCATACAAGTATGTTGTACGAGGTGGTGACTGGGCCCTCATTTCTGCCTGCAACAAAATCTTCCTTGCATCATCAGGAAAAACTCTTGACAAAAAGATGCTCCAACAATTAGCTGAAGAGAAGGAAGTTGGACACATTTAAGGAAAATCCTACAAGCCTTTCTCGCACCCTTCCTCCTAAGGTTTTATTTTTTAACTAAAGAAAATTGCAGCTTCTTTTGATGTTAGCAGTACAAAGAATGAGTGAATTGGTTGATGGCAAATTCGTTGTTACTGTCTGACTGGAGACAAACGCACCGAGGAGCCCATTTTATCAATTTCTGATAAATCCCTACTAGAAGGAGATGAGGAAAACACTGGGAATGTTGGGACTTCTGCTACAGGAAAGCGACAAATCATTCATGAGCTTCAGATGACCAAAGGATGAGATTTAGGAAAGGATTCAATTAAGGGAATGCAAAAACGGCAGCTCTCCCCCCCAGAAAATGTTATAAGGAAATACCATATCGATGAATTACTCTTGGATAGCCGCCACTGCTTTACGTATTGACGTTATGCCTTGTTAGGTCACATCCTTGATTTTTTTTTTAGTGGTGCCTGGGACAATGCTGTTTACAAGAAAGGAGGATACTCCTTTCCTTGTAAAGGAAAATATATTCATACCACCCTACGAACTAGCAAATGTCTTTGATTGTACAGCTTGCTGAAAGCCGAGTTGCACCATTTTTTTCACGTGATCTCCTTTCTCTCTTAGGAGAGGCAGCTCTCCCCGTTTCCCATATACGTACCTGCCATGGTATACTCTGTAAAATACTTCCTAGCCAAACTTGACAAATAAAAATGTATTGTGGACAACTAACAAGCATCCACTGAAGTAGCTACCATGTGCATCTACTTCAATTAGATTTATTTTACCAGAATTGAAAGAAAATGCTTTATAAAAGTCCTCTTGAAAGTGATGCATGTGGTTAAGATATTTTGATAATGTTATCTCATGTATATGGTTAATGCCAACTCGCCATCTGTTTGCACAAACAGGAAACACCTCCTGATATCTGTCCTGTTCACCTTTTCTTAACACAACAACCACAGCGAAAGAAAAAAAAAAAAAAAGGAAATTGCTTTGCATTTCATCTTTTAAAGTAACATTTTTAGAGTTTGCTGCTCTGCATAGGCGCCATTACTTAGCATTTGGTATAAATGTTGTCTTCTTACATACAAAATTTCATTAAAAATATACGTATAATGTACTGAAAACAAAAAAAACTCTCATTTGCTTTTCAGATGACTCCGAAGTATGCGTACCGATAAAATAAAGAAAAAGTGTGGTTGTGAATGACACGCTGAGATCTGCTGCCTCAGTATCTGGACGTTGTGTAAGACAGATTGGTGACAAAAGTGACATTTCCAGTGGGCTTTGCCTAGCCCATCTCTTTTTCTGAGGTCAACACTCTTCTGGGGGATTATTTCATCTGCAACTTCTTTTTTTTTGAAGCTTTAATAACTTCCTTTTTAGAAAGGGGGTAGAAATGTAACCGTGTGAGTGTTGTGAGCATCACCCATAACGATGGGATGAATTTTTCACCAAGGAAAGTAGTCTAGCAGTTTCTAAACATATTTCACTTTTCTCTGGGAATCTATGCTACAGACAAGTCTCTTTAGCCAAGAGGCTCTGTCTCCAGCTCTTATTTGCTGCATCCTGAACTTTGATGTCTGCATTCTCCCACAGGAGCTCGTGTGTCACAGAAGTTCACAAATCCACATGTGGGCTTTTCTGAAGCCTGATCAGCTATTTCCTTTGAAATCTAGGAGGAACACCTTAATCTGGCCCCTGAAGCTGCCTGAGAAACAATGGCAGGGACTTCAGCACAGGCACCACGTGCTGTAGCTGTAGTAGCAGAAGCCAGAAACGCCAAGTGGCAGCCACATCTGCAGCTTGGGCGGCAAGGTGGGAAGGGCTGCTGCTGCGTTCAGGGGAGGTGTAAGAGAGTTTTTAATGCTTCCTAGTGTGCTCATGCACGCACAGGCACTTGGTCTTGCAGACTGCTTGCCCTACACGACAGGAAGGGGTACCGTTATATGACTCACACACAACTGGCTGGCAGCAAGTGAAAAGTTGCGGAGGTGCTCCCAAAACCCGCTGGGTAGCGCAAAACACTGAAAGGGGCAAGACTGCTCTGTAGTCAGCCCATAACAGGGAGGTTAAATACCTGCTTGGCACCAAGCTGTGCATCACCGCAGCATTCACTTTTCAGTACTGCTGTGGTGCGGCAGGTCAGCTGCAAAGTGTTGGATCACTGCGGCAAGAAGAAAGAAAGAAACTTCATATCCACCAGAAACTGAAAGCTGGCATTTCTGAGACCTGATGGTACTCATTCATCCAGCATCAGGGAAGTGTTGAGCTGGATTCTCAGACTTTGTCTGCACTAAGAAATGGGAATTTAGATCTTCTCTAAGCAGGAGAGACAAGGCTTCAGCCACTTTTTCAAAGAACTTCCATTTGCAGACTCTCTGGCTTCACTCTTGCTTGCTCGTGTCAGCTGCTCTTCATACAAACTGGTCACGGCTACACCAGCTGTCAGTCATCATCACCACCCGAATTTTACAGGGATGGAAGGAATTGGAGCTGCTCTTACGTTGAGCATTCAATACCTGCTGAGCGAGGTTACCAAGGTGTATGGGTTCAGTGTGCCACACAAATGCTGAAGGTGGGTCCACCAGCACGAACACCACGTCTGGACTTAGGGAAACAAGCTGTTACTCCATTTCAGACACTTCACACAAAGCAGAGGCAGTTCTAATCCTTCCTACAAGGCCCTCTGGATGCTCACTGGTGACATGTGAAGCATGATGATTAGATAGAAAATCTCTCATACACTTCCTTTTCACAAGCCTTTTCAAACATGAATAAGTAGAGGTCAAAACAAAAGTGAGAAATCAAAGTTTCAAAATTGTTTTGATTTGAGAAGCTGAGCTAACAAACGCTGGGCACAAAGAAAACTCAAAACCAAATTCTCCAATATACTTAGCAGAAGCAAATACTTGAGTACATAACGGGCCAGTCTGTGACCGTGCAGGGGAAAAAAAAAATATTATAATCCCTTTTTGGGGATCAAAGATTGAGGTTCTGTCTTAGGCTGCAAATAGGATGGGCTTCCATTTGTTGACAACACAAAATCAACGTTCAAGGTGGCACATTGACAGTACTGCTTGGCAAAACCTACACGTTTACTGTGCCTCTGAGGCTTCAGCAAACAGTCGGAAACACGGGCCTGCAGTTTCTACATGCTGCTATCAGAGTTCCCATCAGAAAACCTGAACACTGACAAGGGTCACGTACTAGCTGAAAGACATGCCTCTTCTCTATTACATGAGATGAAAACTGACACTAGGAAGAAGAAATGGTTTCCCAACAAGACTCTCAGTGCAGATGAAGGATAACAGAAAAAGCTTTAGAATCTCAGCCCCCAAACTGGACGCCTTGTGACCCATGTTTGAAAATACAGATGAAAGTAACAACTAAAAAGAAACTTGCCTTCTGTGAACAGGCATAGATCAGACAGCAGAGAATTATATGCTCTTGAAATGCTTGGGGAGATTCAGATGCCAGGAGCTTTTTTAAAGGGACTACCTCAAATAAATTGTCAAGAGTACGAGTATAGAACAACAAATGGGAGAAGAAACATAATCTATTTCTCAGAAATTATTTCCTTTGAAGTAAGACACTGTTTTTCCTTAGGAAGTTGTCCAGCCATTGCTTCTGTAGGGAAATCGATTACAAATATTGTATCAAATTTAGCCAGTATCTAAAGGCTACAGCTCAAATGATGAGTCAGACAGAAAGAGAATTGTATAATTCCAGACTAAGAAAAAATGATAGTTCAGTGTGTGAGCAGGTGGGCTACTGAGGACTAGGAGTTTCAGACAGTGACATAGCCTTGTGACTGTGACAGCTGGCTGTTACTGACATATATTCAGATTATTCTAGAAGAACTATAGTTGCTGATTTCCATGAAGATAGAAAAAGAAAGTGGGTCTGTAGAGGAAGTAGTCATAAACTCGTTACCTGGATAAGCACCCAGGAAATTCAACATTTTTAATGACTTCACACCTAGAATCCATGAACAAGTTACCAATAAACAAAGAAAGGCTATTTAGAAATACCCAAATAGTAGTGGGTTATCAACTGCTGCAACAGTGTTACTCAATAATGAGTTAAATGCTCAGTTAAATTTAGCCACGCTGATTATTGCTGCAGCATACACGCTTCATTCATGGGCTGGAATAAACCCATAAATCACCAACTAGTTAAGAAAATTCCTTAAAACATGATGTCAATTCTGTAGGCACATATCTCTGGGATCTGAACTCAAGTAACATTTTTATCCTATGAGTACCCTACCTATAGTTGTCTTTGAAGTTTATGACAACACTGTAAAAGACAGTTTCTGTTGAATTATGTCACAAAATCCCAGAGGAGTTACAGGTAACACAGAGTAGTTGGAACAAAAACCTAATTAGAGAAAGACTTTGCATACCACTGGGCTGAAAATCTCACCCATTTATTCAGGTAAACTGGTGTGGTAGATTCCTTCCTGAGAGTGATACTTACATCTGTGGTCAGTATGAGCAAGCTCTTTCCATCCAAAGTTTCGGCTGTGAGAGTGAGAATTTACAGGGACTTACCTGGCAGTGTGCAAAAGGTCACAGAATGTCTCATGAGGTTTCTTGAAACATTTTGGTACTCAGACTTCTGAAGTTATTTGAGAAGACTTGGCCATAATGATATTTCTCAGCACCAGTGTGAAAACTAAAGGATATGGCCAGATCTGGTTCTTAGACTTCTCTGAGAAGGCAGAAATGGACTGTCTGTGAGCATATTTACTGAGGGATTGGTTTCTAGCATTCTGAACAAGGACAACATCCTGAGGACTAATTCTCGTCCTACGACAATTTGCTCCATTTTCTCCATTAAATTCTGTTTTCCAAGGATGGAAGCTGACCACTTAAAATAACCAGGAGGTAAATCAGCAGTACAGCCTCACACTCCTTAGTTCACAGACTAAGAAAGTGGCATGTTTCTCAGGATACGTAACAATAAAGACACTCAATGCATCTCCCCACAGATCATCCCTCCCGTGTCCCAGGAGGAAGACATCTAGAGAAGGAACAATTAGGGGAAGCCACATTGTTAAAGAAGAAGTCTGGTCTTTGCAAGCAGAAGAAGCTCACATAGAGATGCCTTGTGATATGCATCAAAGGGCTCTCTGGTCTCCCTGGAAAGTAACAGCAGTTGGAACTGAGAAACAAAAAGGAGGAAAAAGAACAAAAATAAAGCTTAAAAGTGAAGGAAGGGGCAGAAAAGATTTTCATATATGGCTGTAGGCTTATCACACAGCCTGCAGCACCCTGGGGAAGCTCTTTTTTTGAGCCAAGAAAGTTAAGAGAAACCAAGAAGCAGGCAACGCAGCGTGTTTAACATGCTCAGCATGAACGAAGGAACAAACGTCCTATGGATACAGAGAGCATTTTTTCAAGGTGAAGGGGCTGGGGTTCATTCCTCCCACCCTCCCCACACGCAGAATGGGCGCAGGGGTGAGCACTCAAAGAAGTGGCACGTAATTGCCAGCAGAAGGTGCTGAGCACTTTGTATCCCATACATATCCACCTGCCTTTAGCCCCAGCAGTGCTGCCAGTAGCACCTAGGCACGGGCTCCTCCCTCATCTATTTGCAGCCTGGTTATCTGCCAGCCTCCCCCCGAGGTTCTCAGTGGGAAGTGAAAGTCAAGTTGACTCCCTGCGAGCACAGATGCAGCAATTTCTTCCCCTTTCCCACCAGGCCTTTCATCTGGCTTACAGAAAGATAAACTTCAGAAAAATGCTGGGAAATGAAACGGATGAAGAAATAGAAAAGTCGGGAGACTTACAGGATTGTCTGACGCTTGCTTGTGTCTTGTGAAGCAGTTCAGACATACGAAACTATGGAAAACACCTAATACCTGCTGTTTATTACATTATAGTTCAAATCCTTATTACAGTATTGGAAGGATAAAATAGTGCCAAAGACTTTGACTACATCCTGGCCTGAGCGAGGGAAAGGTGAGTGGCTTCTACCCCTTCAAGATACACCTGATTCATCTTCTACCCCTTCAAGATGCAAATGATGAGCGATGGGTACGACATGATGGGTGAAAATTTCATCCACAGCAAAGAAGAGTGTTGCAAAGGGGCAAACACGAAGTATGGGAAACGATGGGGACAAACGGGAAGAGACGAAAACGCGGGAGGAACATGACATAGAGGGAAATGAAAACGTGAAAATGATAGGAAGGAAGGATATC